AAAAATTTCCGTAAACTTGTTTATTTTCGAAATATTAAAACGCCAAATACACAAATATTTTTAGATTAAGTCGGATTATGTTTTTTTTAAGTTCATCATCTTTAATTTGTTCGCAAATCGTTTTCTTCTTCGTTTCTTTTTCTCATCTTAATTGAAACGGAATGGTTGAATCGATGCCAACGGCGTTGGTTGCTTTATTGTTGCTGCTAAATTAGAAGTTTGTGGCTGCTGCCCAGTTAGTCCCATTGACAAATTTGTTGTTGTAATATTTGTATTATAATTTGTTGGTAATGCATTATAGGTGCTTTGGTAACTGAAAAATTAAATTGTTTTTTGAAAGAACTTTAAAAATTTTAAAGAGAAACGACGCGCACTCGTTCAATTTGAATTAAACGGAAATTTTAAAAGGAGGCGAAAATTTAGAGAGTTCCGAGTAGGAAAACAACGCGGATAGTTTAGAAAAATCAAAAAATTTCTGTGTGCGAAAAAATAATTATCACGACGCGAACCGCGCGAATTTACGAAAAAATCAAAAAAATTTTGAAAGAAAAATCGCGAAGTCGAAAAACTAAATTTTAAGGTTTCCAAGACCTTAAATAAACGAAAAAAAGGCTAAAGAAAAAGAACAAGCACGAAACAAAAATTGTGTAAATACCCTGAAGTCGACGGTGCGCCTATGCGCTCTGTTCCAGACGAAAAATAACTGTAAAAACATGGGAAAAAATGATTAAGTAATCGCGGATTAAAAAAATTTTTTGTCGTTATAGAAAATTTAAGATTTATAATGTTTAAAGGAAAAGATTAATTTAAAACGCGTAAAAATTTAATTTTGGTATTATTTATCGGAATATTTTTTAATTTATTTTGTGTTGCTCTCGTTGGAATTTTATTAAAAAAATTTTTTTTCAAAAACTTTGTCACATGTCAAAAAAATTCTTTTTTCACGGTGAGAGAGAAATCGCAAAATGAAAGAATGGAAAAAATAAATTTTGTAAAAACCAAAGTTTCTTTTTAATTTTTAAACGCGTTAAAATATTCAAAAAAAATTTGTCAATTAAATTTATATTTTTTATAAACGCACGCAGGTTGTTGGGACTGAAATGATTGTGGAGCGGAAACAGAAAAATTTAATCCTCCTCCTCCTCCACTTTCTAATAATTGTTGTTGTGAATTATTTGATGTAATTGAAGGTAAAGAATTTGAATAAATTGAATTTATTTGTAAAGGAGGGGGATTAGTTAAAATTGATGGATTTTGTTGTTGTTGTTGGGGAATATTAAAATAAAGTTGTTGTTTTTGTTGTTGTTTATGTTCTGCTGGTGGTGGTTGAAATAATGATGTTGGTAATGGTGGCTAAATTTTTAGAAAAAATTAAAAAAAAAATTTTTCTAGCCAATGTCAAGATTGGGATTAGAAGGTTGACCAAGATGCCGAAAAAACTAAACAAACGGATTTCGTTGACTGTCTCGCCGTATTATTTCCCCATTTTCATTTTTTACATATTTTCTAAAAGTAAGAAAGAGAGGATAAAGTTTGGCCCCGGGCAGGCATCGAACTGCATTCACCTGAAAGTTAATGCTAGACGCTTTTTCTCACCAAAAATTCTTTGCCTGTGATGGTGGAATGGAAGAAATCTGTTTTCTTATGAAATTTGATAATACAAAAACTGTATGAAAATAAGGTAAATAAAGCTACGTTAGGAAGACTATATCTTCAATGGCGTCTTGCCTATTTTGGTGGTCCAAAATCAGTTATTATTTTTATAATTCGGATCTATTCTTATTTTCTTCACCACAATTAATGGCTCTTATTTAAACCCATCCCTCCCTTTATCAAACAACAGAAAAAAATAAAATTAAAGTAAAAACCATTGTATCAGGCTCCTTTTTTGGTTGAAGAAGTTGTGTCAAATCAACACGTATAACTGATTGTTGATCATTATTATTAACTGTTCCTCCACCAATTTTATTTAAATTTTGTGTTGGTTGTGAGTGTTGCTCATTTTGCAAAATTTGTTGTTGTTGTTGTTGGGGTGGTTGTAAACGTAATTCTTTTAATAATTGTTCTCGATAAAAGAAATAACGAGTTCGCGAGTCTTTGTATTGTTCGTAAAGTTTTTGAAGTTCCCTTTAAAAAAATTTTTTTTGAAAAAATTATTCAAAGGTGGCTGACAATCTTAAGGAATAAAAGGGGCGTTTCTAACATAGTTAATTAGGACATCCCGGAAAGATGTAACCAAGCAAAAGATAAGAGGAAGGATGACGTTATTCCCCAAATCAGGCCTCTTTGTTTAATTTCGAGTCGAAATTCCTCCAAATATAGGGTCTGTAGATTCTAGTACCCATCAACCTATGTTTCCAAAATAGGCAGAGCCCTTTCCCTTAGAACAAAAAAAAATTTTAAAAATTTTTACGGATTGTGAGGGCATGGCAATTCAGGATCATTTTCACCACTTCCACCGCCCATTTTATAACCCCAACAGGATTGTTGTTGTTGTAAAGATTGTTGTGGTAATGGAGGTTGTTGGTGCATTAATGGTGGAAAATGTTGTTGGTTGTGTTGTAATGGTGGGAAATTTAAATTATTCAAAGGTGGCTGACGAGGAAATTGTCGTAGAGGCGGCTTGTCAAACATCAATGGTCTGGGCTTTTTATTAGATTTGTGGCCACCGTTATTTGAATTCCTTAAAAATAAATGAAAGGTTTATAAAGAAAATTGGTAAATCCCCAAATTTTTACAAAAATGACCCAGGAAAGTCAAAATCCTCCCAAAAATGATCAAAGGGACAGTTCATCCAATTCACCAAAATTTAAAATAAACAAACATGTTTCGCTTCCTATTTGGATTTCCTGGACATTGTGATGTTTTGTGTTCTTCAGCGCCACAAGTAAAACATTTATCACTCATCCCAGGCTGTTTTCTTAAACGAGAAGTTGAACGCTCTACATGAAGCTCTCTGCCCATAAATCTGAACTTATCAAATTTTTTGATTGCTTTATCGGCATCATTTTCGTTTGCGACATGCTATAAAAATTTGAAGTTAATAAAAAATGAAGAGAAAAATATACCACAAAAGCAAAATTTTTCAAAACATCGCATTCCTGTACCCTCACGTGTGGTGAAAAAAGACTTCTTAAACGAGTGGAGTCTTAAATGAGGGAATTAAACAAGCTTAACCAAAATTTTAACAAATACCAATATTCTCTGGCAGATTTCCAATGAATAGCTTAACCATTTGTTTCGAAATATGATTTAAAAATATTTAAAATAAAAAATAGGAAGAAATAAATAACTCGATCAACGCGAATTTTTTAAAATAAAAAGCAAAGGAAAAGTCCAAGAATTTATCCAAAAATTAGAAAATAAGACACATTTATGGAAATAACTTATACCAGTTAAATTTATGAAAACAAAGCCAAGGCTACCAAAAAAAACTTTTTAGAACAAGTGACTTTTGTCCCACACAAAAATTTCTTTATCTTCCTCAACTTTACTTCCAAAAATGTCTCATATAATCAAAAAACAACAAATATATAAACGTGCAAAGTCTTTAAATAAAATATAAAATAGTTAAACTTTAAAAAACTATGTTTTAATTGTATCATGAGAGAGTACTTGCATCGTTTCTAGGTCAACATATAAAGCAAAGTTAACAGAAAATTCTTCCCAACAATAGTCTCAATAAACCAATTCAGTGGTCACCAGCAGAATAAGAGTTGGTGAAACGGCTCTTCTCGCGCAGCAAATAGTTGGCGACAAAGTCAATAGGTTCGGCCGGTCTCTCCTTTGCAAGAGCTGAAAAATGAGAATAGAATTGTTAATCAAAGGTTTAAGTCTAAAACATAAGATAAAGACTAGGGTACACAGACTTTTCGAGTACAATGCTAAAAACCGAATCCCCTACACACACCGAAAAGTTTCCCAAGCATTTGTCCAATCCAATGCTGAAGGCCAATCAAATAGGTTGAAGCCAGGGAATCAAGTGATTCAAGAAACTATTACCCCCATAACTATAAAGACTGTCTAGGACAGAACAAAGGGAACAATCCCAACTAAGTCAAAGCAATCTAAAAATATACCGCTAAGAGCTTGAAGCAAAATCGGAACAATAGTCTCATCCAGATATTGACGCGTAGGCATGGCCTTAGTTGCAGAAACGTTGTTGCTACTGACCTTATCATCCTAAAAATTATTTCTGATTAAAGTTTCTATTAAAATATAAAGTAACCGTCTTCTTGTTGCCCGAAACAACACCCTCAGAAGTCGCTCCAAAATTCTCCGTTTGCTTATTCTGCGGAGTCGGAGTCGCATCACGCTGCTTCTCCTCAGTAGTCTTCTGCGCCTCGTCAGGCGTAGCCTCATTAGTCGGAGTCTCAATGGCCGGTTTATCCTCAGTTGCTTGCACAACAGGAGTAGAAGTCTCAGTAACTACAGGCGTCTCAGCTGGTACCGGAGCAGGAGTCTCAATCGGAGTCGAAGTCTGATTCGAAGTGTCCATTGGAGTTTGCTCTTCCGAAGACTTGACGACATCCTCAGTCTTGTGCTCCTCCGCTTGAAGATTTTCAGTTGTGTTAGAGTCAGAAATTGGTTGAGTTTCAGAAGACATTATTTCGAATATAAGAAAATAAAGTTGCTGAAATATTTTTTAGTTTGCTAGAAAAAGAAATGATCAAAAATTAAACAAAAACATGGCAAAAACAAGGAACGCTAATTGTAAGCAAACAAATGAAAAATTTCGAAAAAAATAACAAGTTTTGTCTAATGTCCTTCGATCTCTCATTATTGAATGCTATTTTCTTTTGTACGGACATTTTGTCGTTACCCACTTTGTCACGACCAGTTGGTCGCAGGCACTTGATCGCATAGTAACTTTTTGTTTTCATTGATTTGGGTTCATTTTGGAAAATTGATTAAAATCAAATCCTTTTTGTTTTTAAGTTAAAATCTTTAATTTCTCATTTCTGAGGTCTTTTATTTGTCTAGTTTGATAAATTAATCAAATGGTTGACGCTTATTTGACTCATGGTTCGAAACTTGTTGACATCACTAATGAATTTTTTAAAGCCTGTGAAGGTTTCTTTTCTTTTTATTATAAATTTCAATTTTTACTTTTCAGAATTGGAAACTGGCGAATTTTCTATGTCAAATGACTTTAAAATTTCCCATGCTATGAGTGCTATAGGTTTATTTTTTAAGTTTTTAGTTTAAATTATAAATATTTTTTGTAGAAATTATGGATCCGAAGATGGACTCTGGAATGGACTTTTTTGAATGGAAAATGCTTAATTTCACTGACAAGGCAAAACTTACACAGGTATTATTTTTGACTAATTTCTTGAAGTAGAAGGTCTCGAGTAGTTTTGAATTTTATGGTTCCAATTTTCTTTTTATTTTTAACAATGGCTATTGATAAGCATCCTTTATGCTTGATTTGCAGCCATAGGTACAAAAAGAAAACTGGGCAGAAATGACAGAGTGGACATTAAATTCAAAATTTTGGCCCTATCTGGAAACAAGAGTGCCTTCATTTTTTCCCCATCATTTTCCCTTAAAATCGTCAATTTTCCTTACAAGGAGAGTTTGCGAGGTTTCCGACCTAAAAACGGTCGAGACCGGGCTCATTCGATAGAGAATGTACCCTTTCTAGCAAAAACGGCTCAAAATCCTTGCTAGGAAGGGCACATTCTCTATCGAATGAGCCCGGTCTCGACCGTTTTTAGGTCGGAAACCTCGCAAACTCTCCTTGTTAGTAGTCAACATTTTGGCACTAAAATTTTGGAGTTCGTAAAATACGGTGGGGTACCATTCCGTGCCGCGGGTTCCGTGCCGCGGTTTCCGTGCCAGCGAGTTCCGTGCCTGCCCAGTTCCGTGCCGCGGTTTCCGTGCCAGTTGTAAAAGGGGAGGTTTCCGTGCCCAAATTTTAAATATATGAAAAACGGGTTCCGCGTAGATTTTTTAGTTTTTCTTACTTTAAACGATCTGAAGAACATGTTAAAAGGTAGCCGAGTCTTTACTCTAGGCTTTTCTTGGGTTTTTCGGGCTTAGGGGGAAGTCTGTCGCGACTTTTTTTCTTCAGGTAACAAAATTTTAATAAAAAAATGAGTCAAATAAACAAAAATTTATCAAAAAAATAAATAAAAAGTCATTGTCTCGTTTCACTCATTAAATTTGTGGCCCTAAAGAGGGCCGTTTGGGTTAAAGTTGTTGTTGACAAATTTCATCACGGCTGCCATTCCTTCAAAAATTGTCTTGTCAGGCTCGCCAGTCAGAGTACCAGAAGCAAACCGCTTGGACACGTCGTTGACATCCCCTAGAAAAATGGTCTTAAATTAAAATTTTTGAAAAATTTCAAAATAAAAAAAAAACTAAAAAAAAAGTAAGGCATGAAAACTAAAAAATATAATAAAAATGCCAACCTTGTAATTTCCCCATTGTTGTAGCCGTAGGATGGAGTTTGGCACACGTCAAACAAGTTCCCGGCCTTATTAATTTCCTCTTCGGAACAGCAGTGGGATGGAATCATTTAAAAAACTTTAAATTAGAGCGGTATTTTGAAAAAAATTTAAATAGGAAAAGTTAGAACAAATAAAATTTGGGCACGGAAACCTCCCCTTTTACAACGTGCACGGAAACCGCGGCACGGAAACCTCCCCTTTTACAACTGGCACGGAACCCGCGGCACGGAAACCGCGGCACGGAACTGGGCAGGCACGGAACTCGCTGGCACGGAAACCGCGGCACGGAACCCGCGGCACGGAACCTTCCCAGTCCGCGTAAAATAATTTGTTTGCTCCCCAAGTTTTCCAAAGTTTATTCAATTAAATAAATTTTTAAGGAAATTCTGAGACTGCCTGTTAAAGAGATTATTGCAACTTTTGACGCTACCTTTGCAACTATCGCCTCCTGGCTGAATTCTCAACCTTTGGATCAGACAGTAAATTTCTGTTTATTTTGCTTTTGAATCTTAATTTTTTTAGATTTTCTCAAATTTGTGTATGTGTGATTCCGAATTAATCAAAAACAATATTTATTTATATACACTATCAACGGCAACTCTACACTTTATTAGTTTATTAAAGCTATACTTTAGATGTGCTTCTGTTTCGAATGAGGTTTTTTTTAATTTCTAGTTTGCTTCCAACTTGATTAGTTGAATATATTTTCTGTATTTTTCGTGCAAAGTTTGTTTACTTTTCTCGAGAATTTTTGTTAAATTACAATTTGTATTTAGTTTACCCTTCCTAAGATTTTTTGGTAATCCATAGAATTTCCGAAATTGAACCTCACTACGTAAAATTTAAAATTTTTGAGGCTGGAAAAATCGTGTAGTCTTATGAGTCTGTGGAATATGCTCTTGCCCGAAGGACCAAATTTTAAAAAAATTTTGGTAATAGACACTATTACCAAAATTTTTTTAAAATTTTTTTTTTTTCCAGTCCCCCTTTTTTCCTCCCCAAGTTTTTTCCTATAATTTGTACAGAATGGACAGACTTTCCTTCCATATGCCTTCCTTTCTTTTTAAAGAACTGGAAAAAATAATCATTTTTGATTGTTTGTAGGCAAAATATAGTAAGGCAATTGTGATCGACGAAGGAAAATTTTTTCCATTCTGTACAAATTTATAGGAGAAACTTGGGGAGGAAAAAAGGGGGACTGGAAACGACACTATTACCCAAATTTTATCAATAATTAAGAAGAATCTAATATTTGGTGTATCCTTAGTCCTTTCTTCATTCTTAACTAAAAATTAAAATTAATCTCACTTTTCAGGAGGATGTCTGTCTACAAACTGGACATAATGTCCCCAGCTATGACCGAACTTTTGTTTCTACCAATTTGACTGATGCAACCGCAAAATTAAGAAAAACACTTAGAGGGAACAACACTGCAACTGAAAAACACGAATTTCAAGCTTTGCTTATTCGTTTCGAGTTTTTCTCTTCACTTTTGGAAATGTTTGATTTTTTGTTGCCTTCAAAAGGGACTCTTTATTTGTTGAATGCGGGTATTAATGAAACAGAAATTGACCCTTTTATTCCAAATTTATACAGGTTTTTTTTTAATTTTTGAGTTGTATTTTGTTTTCCTCGCCTAAAAAACAAGAAATTTTATAAAATTGAAATTTTGAATAGACTGGCAATTTTTATTGGCGAAGAACGTATTGTAAAGCATAGAGCTATTTAATTCCTAAAGCTGTGCAGTAGGCGGCGTGGTATAATAAAAAAAACACATCAGTCCGGTCTACTGAAGATGCTTTTTCGCTCCCAGCCGCCGAATAACCTTTTGCACTAGCTGAAGGAGAGAGGCTTTACTGTATAATGAAAATCAATAGGTCGATCTGAAATAACGATTTCTAACTTTTGAGTCGTTTCCGATATCCATCAGTTTCGATTTCCTCGGTTCCTCTCTACCCTTGATGAAAAGTGTTGTTATTAAAGACAAAAAAGCTTCTTATAAAAAATTAAACGTTCGTCTATTTTGATTAAAAATTCATTTTCTTGCTTCAAGCTTTCAAAATTAAAAGAAAATCTGCTCGAAAAAATGCCCTACCAGAAAAATATCCAACCAGAAAAAATCCATCTTTAAATAAATTTTTTTTAAAATTCACCACATTATTTTTAAATAGTGCTGGAGAACAACTTCAAAAATGTTTACATTTCCACAAAAGAATATTGGCTACAATTAATTTCGGAAAGCAACCACCAAAAGATGAAAGAGATTCACTTTTTGATTGGTTATCAACTTTTGATAGTAATACATATCTTTATATGTCAACTGCTGGTCTTCCAAGGAAATTACAATTATTTTCGAGATTAGAAGGTTATAAATATATTGAAGATACGCTTGAAACTATTGGAGAAATTATTATGAGTGTGCCTGATTATGTGACTACAACATGGGGAATTTTGGTTTGTTTTTTTTTTAAATTTAATTTTAGTGGATCGGTTTTACATTTAGGATCATTCCATTCGCTTGGATTGATAAAAATAAAAATTAAGAAATTAATTATTGGAGTTGTAAGGTCTTTTTCCCACTCTAGAAAATATAGCAAAAATAAAAATGTTTAGTCGGTATTGGGATGGTTGAGGGTTAACAACAAAAGCATCGGAGAGTTCTCACAGGGAAGAATCCTTTTACTGTCACTGTGGATTTGATATTTTTTCGTTCCATTCTATAGAAGACCCCAACTTCCTATTGCGAATTTATATTCGATTTCTTGTATAAGATAATTGTTCGAGTTGAGGGACGACCTAGTCGGCGAGGTTTCCTCTCAGTCTAGCAAATAAACCAAAAAATGAAACGATCAGGCGGTGATGGAATACTTTACATTGGAACAAAATCTATCATCGGAAATTTTTTATTGTTAGGACCAAATCCCATCCCATTTTCTTGAATGAGTTTTCATGATTTACTTACATTAATATTTTTCTTAGGAAGAGTGGGTCTCAATATTTTTATTTTTTCTTTTAAGGAATTGGCCAAAAAATTTGGTGATCTTCATAGTAACATTCTTACACGTTCAGTTCTTCAATTAATTGTATAAATTTTTAAAAAAATTATTTTTTTAATCAAGAATCAATTTTCTTTTTCAAAGCTTTTCCCTTTAAATCGGCACAATTTAACGGGCACAATTCCTTTTATGCAAATTGCCTTCAATTCAGTTAATCGATTTTGTGGTTACCTTATGAATAATAATATACAAGATGTTATTGCGTATGTTTTTTCTTTTAATTAATTAATTCTCCCCAATTTTTCTAGTCAACACAATTCATATTTTCCTCATTTAAATGTTTTATTTAACGAAATTTTTGGCCTTTTTGAACGTGCCTATACTTGCCTTTATCAAACTCATGGCAACAATTTGGCTAGACAATGGGACTTTTTTCATGTTAATTTTGATGATTTTTCTATTTTAATTAATGAGGTTTGAAACTTTAATTTTCACTTATCAATTATTTTTTTTCTTACAACTAATGACCTTTTATAAAACGAACATGAGTTTTGAATTAAAATTTGATGTTTTTATAAGAAATCCTGATTGCTTAGGTTTAATTGTCTGTAACAGGAAATAGCATGCAAAATGGTGAGATACAATCTCTCGCAATTTTCTCTCATTTTCCGTGATCTTTTCTGTCGCAAGACGTGCGAGATTTTTGTATAACAATAGCATAATCTCGCAAGAATATTTTTGGGTACCGCAGAAGGTACCGCGTACAATTCAACAAGATACATGAGCAATATAATATCAAGTAAAGGGGGAAAATTGTAAAATTGTTCCTATAACTTTAAAGTTTGGTGCCTCGCGGTACTTTGGACAACGGGCCTGCTCTCAATGATTTTGAAATTTTGCCTGCGTTTGAATAGATAACTTTCCATACTAAATGTTCTAAATTTATTTTTAAGGCAACACAGCTTGAAGACGAAATGCGAGGTATTCGTTTAAGAGTTTTCCAAACTCAAGGACTCGTTCTAAGCGTTGGAGGTGTTCCAGTTAATGATGATAGTGATGTTAATGAACATACAAAAATTATTCAACCAATGTCTCCTCTTCCACCTTTAATTGAAAGGCTTAAATTAGAAAATAAAATGGAATATCCTCTCTCTAATTTTTTTCTCTACACAACTTTGGAAACAATGCATCATTATTTTTGGATTGGATTTCAATTACGTTTATTTTTGCCTTTTGAATTTATTTATGTTTATTGGTAAGGATTTTAATAAAAAAATTTTTTTTGATTCTCTTGTTTATTCCCTAGAAGGGGACCGGTGGAATATACGGGTCTTTAATTTTGTTGTTTTTAGGCCTGAATCACCTCTATACATTTTTTAATTTAATTTTTTTAGTTGGGGTTTTTTTATATCTTACTTTCATTTTCCCCTCTTATCATTGTAAGACCGACAGTTCCTCCCATCTTGTTAAAAAATTAAAACGTTCAGCCGTGGTTCCTTGCAGCGGGGAGCTCTCAAGATCAAGTTTCATTCAATTTTTTGCTATTTTTTGGGACGGGACGACCGCTATACTCTTTTTTACTTACAATTAGAATTTTTACAAAAAAATATTTTTCAAGAAGTTCCTTTGTCTTCGTTATTTATATTTTTTCTAAACTTCATTTTAAATTTAATTTTCAAGGTATTTTGGAGAGATTGTTGCTCGTACTCTAAATAAAATGACTTACAACAGAATTAATAATCTTCTTTTAGAATTTCATAGAGGTTCTTATTTTACATTAAATTATTTCTTTTAAAATTTTTCCAGATTTTGACAAAATTGAACGTTACGAGAAGGAACGTAAATTGGATAGAATAGCTGGGAGTCCAACTTCAAGGAGTAAACGTTCCCGTAGTAGATCTAGGACAGAAGAACAATATCGAAGTAGATTGACTGAAATGAAAGTAAAATCTTTGTGTTACAAGTTTGTTTTTTTTTAATTTTTTTTTGAATTGAGTTTTTAGATACTCTTTTGGTCTAACAAGGGAACGTTTTGAACTGTAGCCAAGAATTTCGCTAATCTATTGGTATACGATGCTACACGATGGTGCAAAAAATGCGAAATTTTTGGCTACAGTTAAAAAAATTAAAAAAATTTTAAATTGGTAGTGGAGGTGTTCTATAATAGTTAATTTTTTTTTGATTTTCCTTCGAAAATCAACAAATATTTTGAGAACTTCCTATTAACTTTTCTTCTCGATTTTTTTTAATTTTGGAGTAATTCTCTCTTTAAAATTTAAATTTTGGGGGTGTCTAAAAATGAATGCGGTCTCGAAATTATTTTTCTTAAAAATAATTTTTTGTATTATTTAACAGAATTGAAGCTATAATGTCTTTTGGAATGTTTAAAATGATGGTTGGATTAATTACAAGTAAAGAAATTGTTTTACCTGAAGAAGAAATGTTGCGGTATAATAGACGTTTTATGTTATTCTCTTCTTTGAATGATATGATTTATTATGATTATGAACGTTATTTGGAATATTCTAAGTTTGTTTTTAAGTGTTAATTTTTAGTTTGGGGAGTTTTAAAGTGAAACAAAATTTTTTGAAAAAAAAAAAAGATTTTTATGGGGATATTAGTACAGAGTCCTTAAGTCTCGTCTACCTTATTTAATAAGAAACAAAATTTGCTCATTAGCCCTTTTAAAAAAATTTTTTTTTTGGATTTTATGACAATCTAGTATAGTTGCTTCCCTCTAATTTCTATGTGACTATTTTTGAAAGATTTTTTGTTGTCATAGTTTGCTTAAAGCCGATACTTATCTACTCTCATGTCAGGAATACCAATAATTATAAGAATACACCCTAGATCTATTTTCCAAAAAAATTTGTTTTCAAAATACAAATTTAACTAGAAGTTGTTCCCTGACAAGGAAACATCGGATACTGTGTACAAAAATTTAATAATTTTTTGGTACCAATTGATAGAAAACCATCGACTTCCTATTGCAAAGTGATGAGGGTTTTTTTAGAAAATGACTTTGGGTCGAGTTAGGGCCATTCAAAATTTGAGTATTTAGAAGTGGTTGAGTTTAGGGAAAAGAGAGAAAACAAGCGAACGCTGTCCTTTCTTTCTGCGGAGGAGAGGGATTTCTAGAACATAAAATTAATTTTAATAAATAAAAAATATTTTTAGATTAAATAATTTATTATCAACACCTTCAAAAGAACATTTTCTCAGTGCTGCCCAAACATTTGATGAAGTAGCAACATTTATAAAAAAATATAAAAGAGAATTCTTTTGTGAGGCAAATATTTATTTAATTGAAGCAATTAATGTACTTGAAACAACTGCTTCTAAAAATGCTATTGTTGCTAAATTGTTGACTAATAATAAATTGGTAATAATTAAAATTTAAATAAAAAATAATAACACATTCAAACTTTAGAAAACCCTTAAAAAATTAACCAAATAACGGGATCCAGGGAGTTTGATTCCATAAACTGTGTCTAAAATCCGAGAGCGCCCATTATTTCGTTTTTTACGTAGAGTCCGAACTTCCGAAGGAGCCCAAAAAAGTCCGAAAAATCTTGGAGTCCAAATTTGCATTGCACAAATTTCCGGAAACCCAATAAACAGTTGGCTAAGCCTGCTTCCTGTAAATCACAATAATGTTACGAGTAACTCAATGTGGGCTAGGTTTGCCAAAATGGCCCGACTTGGACCGGAAGATCGAGTCGTGCCTAAGATATTTGACCCGATAAAGACTTGTACGGCCCGACTCAATAAATTTAGGCCCAGAAAAAATGCTTCGACTGTTAGCCCGACTCGAAAACGGCATATTATAGTCTCTATTATAGTCCAAAAAAACGTTTTTTCTGAAAACTTAAAATTTAATGAATTATTTTTAATAAATTCAATGAATTAATTTTCAATTTTTTAAATTTAATTTCAGAATAAAGAACTTTCAATTGACTTTACAAATGTTGGTCATTGCCGTTTTCTTTGTTGTTTTCCAACGTTTATGCTTAAAAATAAAAAATAAAAAGTAATTTTTTTAAATATAATTATTTTTGAAATTTTATTTTTTGAAAAATTTTATTGTGAATAATGGAAGGTTTCTTTTACGAAAAAAGTTTTTAAAAATCTAAAAAAATTTTCGACGTTTAAAATTAATTTTTAACTAAAAATTCACATTAAAAAAGCTCTTTTTTTGTTGCTGCCGTTTTTCAAATTATTTAAATCCATACAAAATCATACACGTTTTTTTCTATTCTTATGACAAACATGAGTAACTTTTTTGAAGGAAATAAGTTTTTTTCTCATTTTATTAATTTTTAAAATTCACAATTTTAGTGTTATTTTAATTTTTGGTTTGGGAAAATTTATACAGCTAATTATAAGCCTCATTTTCTTACTTCCCTTGTAAAAATCGCCTTCTAATAATGAGGGGTATCTTAAATGGGGGGAGGGAGTATAGTTTAGACAACTTCCTCCTCCTCCCACCAATTAAAAGAAACGTTTCTTGAATAGAGGGTCTATCTATTATTGGAGGTATCTTTTAATTTGGTGTTCCTTGAATAGAGGGCATCGATTAGGAGACTTCCCGGCCTATTTGGGGAGGGAAGTTTTTTTTAAGTTTTATTTTTAAAGCTAAAAAAAACTTTAAAAATGCCGCTTGAATAGAATCTATTATTGGGGATATTTTATAGTTGATAAATTATTAGATTTTTAAGGATTTGACGTCTTTTTCTAAACCAAAAAAATTCTTTTTTTCTTGTAGACCTCTATCAAATGACCTTTCTTTTAATTTTTAACAGCCTGAAAAATTTATCTTTGGCTTAATTTTATTCCCGATGAAAAAAATTATATTTCAAAACAAAAATGTTTTCTCATTTTTAGGTGTCTTAATTTTACAATTAAAAAATCTTTTTTTTTGTTGTTGTTTTTGTTAGATCTCGATAAATATAAAAATATTTTTAGAAAAATTTAATTTAAAATTTATTTTTTTAATTATATTTTAATTTTTATTTTAACAATTTAATAATTTTTTTTCTTTTTTAAAATTTTATTTTGTGACTTTGTGTTGTTCTCTAATATTTACAAATGGATGAGGCAAAAGAAGAAACGTCTTCAAATCATGGTTTCTATTTTTTTATTTTAAAACATTATTTTGGTTAAAAGTCTTCTACAACCTAACAGAAATGGGTTTAGTAAATAGTAGAGAAATTTTTTTTTAGAATTTTTGACAATTTACGGGGGAGGGTTCTCAAGTATTTTTCGGTAGCTGTGTCATTCCTATGTTGACTAAATTTAATACCTAGCCATTTTCTCTGTTAATTAAACCTCAACTTTCGTTGTCTCCTATGGGAGCAGTTCTGGTGTAGTGGTATTATTCTTGATTCTCTTCTTTTCCAAACCAGGTTCGAGTCCCCTCTGTTTAATCCTCAGTTTTTATTTTATTCTCAACTTTTTTTTTATTTTTAATTTAATTTTTTGAAAAGAAAGTTTCTAAAGAATTTTTTTAAATATTTTATATTCTTATTTTTCATTTTATTAAAAAAAATTTTTTTCAGAGGAAGAATATCAACCACAAAATACTTCTACAATTTCACTAAATGATGAAAATTTTGATAAATTTAATGAAAATAAACGTCACCGTCCAAAAATTGACGAAGCAGAAATTGATAGAAAAATGATGGAATTTATTGCTTTGAAAGAACAAAAACAAAGACAGAGTGTTGTTGGTTTGAATGAAACTTATGAAGTTTTGCCTCAATTTAATGGTTTGTTTTGAATTTTTTTTAAATTTTATTCTTATTTTTTTGACTTAAAATTTTTAATTTTTTTCAAACGAAAAACACGAATTTTTATTCCTGTCGTTTTGAGACTATTTTTCCCTCGGAAAATAAGTCAATCTTTTACTCTTATTTTTTAACTCATTCAACTTACCGTAAATACTCTAGTTGAAGCCCATCTCTATTACAAGCCCATCTGAGGAGACCCATTGAAAAATATTAGCCCTGGGCTTCGATTAGAGTATTTTCGGTAATTTTTGCATAATAGTTTTGTTTAAATTTCTGATTGGAGTCCAAACTTTAGGCTAATAATTTTTCAATTTCCCCCATTTTCCCCTCCTTCTAATTTTAGACGGTTTTTTTTTTTCAGAAATTATTTTTTGAGGAAAACTAAATTTTCCTCACACAAATTTGTTATCATTTAATATTCTCTAAAAAAATTTTTTTAATTTTTTTATTTTAAAAGAAGTCCCAGACGACGACCAAGAATACTTTAAACACTTATTTCTCAAAAAGTTGAAGATTTGCACTGAAATTTTTGATTTTTCTATTGATCCGCTTTCTAATTTAAGGCAAAAAGAGGTTTTTTTTATTTTTAATTTAAATAAAAAAAATATTTTTAAAGATAAAAAGGTCAACATTGAATGAATGCATTGATTTTATTACTTTAAAAAAGGCTGTAATTCATGAGGATTTTTATGTGCCTTTATTTGATATGGTTTAAATTTTTTTTAAAATTATTTAAGTAGTCAAACTCAAAATTGGGTACATCCACAATCTAAAATTTAATTTTTTGTTTGGCTAAATGGGGGGGGGGGTGCCCAAATTACTCGATTTTAGTTGGGAATTTTTTCAATTCCAAGAGTATATAAATTATGTTGTTTTAATTTTTGGAGTAAATTCTCCGTCTAATTAAACTTAACGGAGAATCTAATCCTAAAATAAAAAAAAAATATTTTGGACACGGATGGATTATTTTTTCGTAGAAAATTAATTTTGATGTTTTTGAAATTAATTTTGATGTCTCCTGCAAAAATTTATCTGTTAAAAAAATTTGTAAAAATTTTGTTTTTTAATTTCCCTTTTTTCTAAAGTTTTCTAAAAATGTTTTTCGTGTTCTTTCACCGCCAACACATCCAACAGGCACAGAATATGATCCTGATGAGGTTTTTTAAAATTTTGATATTTTTTAAAAAATTTTCAAAATAAAAGGATGATCCAACATTAGAACCTTCTTGGCCCCATTTACAATTAGTTTATGATCTTTTTCTTCGATTTATTGAATCTCCAGAATTTAATATTCAATATGCAAAGGATCTTTTAAATCAAAAATTTATTATTAATGTAAATTTTATTTTTTTTAAAATTTAATTTAAAAAATTTCCAAAAAAATTTTAAAAAAATTTAAAAAAAAATTAACAAAAATTTTTTTTTTAATTTTCAAAAAATTTTCTGGATGCTAACACTTACAAAAATTAATTCATAAACGCTTCCTTTAATAAATACGGGCAAAAGGGGTCGAACTATAGACTCTTCAGAAGGGGAGTCAGACACACTAACCATTACACCACAACACAATAGACTCGAAATTTTTTAATTCAATTAATATAGCAAAGGAGAAACTGGGGGGTTTTAAGCATAATTTAATTGATGTTAAAACTTACACCATTTTTTGTCGCAAAAAATATTTTCCTATACCAATTATATCTTCAAAAAATTCTTTTTTAGTTGTTAGATTTATTTGACAGCGAAGATCCTCGTGAACGGGTTTTTTAAAAAAATTTTTTTAATTAAAAATTTTTTTCCACAAAAGGATTTTCTAAAAACAATAACTCATCGAATTTATGGAAGACTTGTTGCTTTTCGACCTTTTATTAGAAAACAAATAAATAATATTTTTTATACTTTTATTTATGAGACTGAAAGGCATAATGGAATTGCTGAACTTTTGGAAGTTTTGGGAAGTATAATTAATGGTTGGTTTTGAAGGGAAATTAAGAAATTTTTTGAATTGTCTTAGAATTTTAGTTAATTTTAGACTAAATTTGGCTGTACTTTAGTACGTGGGTCCCGGAGTTATATACAAATGTTATACCATTCGAAAGAGCTAGTCGAGCTGAATCGAATGCCGCCAGTTTTAGCCCGAGGAAAAATTTTTGAACCGAGATATAGGCCCCTGAAGTTTGAAAAACCATAGGGGGGACCAAGCACTTTTTTGGGGTGAAAAATTCGAAAATGCAAATGATACCTCATTCGAAAGAGCTCGTCGAGCTGAGTCGAATGACACCAAAATCAACGAAATCCGACTTGATTGGACAAAGTTATGATTTTTTATTTTAGCTACTTACCTATGGCATCTGTGGAGATTTTTGCTGCTACGGAGGCCCCAAATACGTCCAGAGCAAGGGAGATAGGAATAGGTTTATGTTACGAGCCCAGACCCAGCGCCCGTAGACTCCCCGCGAGGCGCGTGCCGCAAAACACCGCGCGAAGCGCGGTGTTTTGCGGCACGCGCCTCGCTGACGCTCCATAGGGTTAGGTTTTTTTGCGTCGTAACTTTGTCTAATCTTGTTCAATTTCGTTGATTTTGGTGTCATTCGACTCAGCTCGATGAGCTCTTTCGAATGAGGTATCATTTGCATTTTCGAATTTTTTACCCCAAAAAAGTGCTTACTCCCCCCTATGGTTTTTCGATTTTCGGGGACCTATATCTCGGTCCAAAAATTTTTCCTCGGGCTAAAACTGGCGGCATTCGATTCAGCTCGACTAGCTCTTTCGAATTACTATATTAACTCCGGGACCCACGTACTAAAGTGACCCCCTAAATTTTATTTAAAAAATTAAAAAAAATTTTTTTTTAATTTAAAGGTTTTGCAATTCCACTTAAAGACGAACACAAAACATTTTTAATGCGTGTATTGTTACCTCTTCATAAGGTTATTTATTTATAATTAATTTTTTAAAAATATGAGAGAGTACTTGGAGAATAAATTAATAAAAAATTTCTAATAATTTTTAAAAAATCTAAAAAAATTTCAATTATTTGCTGAATTTTGTGAAAAAAATTGTTACAAGTATTTTTAATGAATATAATTATGTATATGTAGTTATTATTTACTTTCCTCAATAAGTTCCGATATGGTGTAGTGGTAGTGCGCTCGACTACCATTTTTTAGAGGTAGAGGTTCGATACCTTTCTCGGACTAAATTTTTTCTTTTACTTGTCTCTTCTTCCATTTCCTTTAAAATAACATTTTTATAAGCAAAAAATCGTTCAAGAAAATTTTTTTTCTATTTTTAGGCAAAATATTTAAATGCTTATCACCCTCAATTAGCTTATTGTATTGTACAATTTATTGACAAAGATCCAAGCTTAACAGTTGCTGTAGTTATGGCTTTGTTAAAATATTGGCCTAAAGTGCATAGTCCTAAAGAGGTTTTTTTCTTAAAAAATTTTTTTAATTCAAAAAATTTTTTAGGTAATGTTTTTGAATGAATTGGAAGAAATTTTGGATGTTATTGAACCGACAGAGGTTTATTTCTTTAATTTTTATATAGTCAAAGCTCATTATAAGTTACCCCTTATTTTGAAATACGTTATTTAATAGTTGGTTGATCACTGTAGGAGGTTGTCTAACAATAAGCGATGATTTCCTTATTTAAGAAGGGGAGATACAATTTGGGATGATTTAGAAGGTTGAGGTTGAATTAGGAAGTTTGATTAAAGAACAGACTGGGAGTGTCGCACACGAAACGAACCCCTCATTTTGTTACCCCTCATTTAAATAACGTATCTCAAAATGAGGGGTAACTTGATTTCGAAAAGTCTCGTAGAGTTTTTTCAAGATATCGTCTCGGTCAGATCACTAGTTAGAATATTGCCTAATTAGAAGGTTGCCTGTGAGATTCCTCCCTTTTAGAAACACCTCATTATAAGATATATAATTTTTCAGCTCCAAGAGTTTATTTTAAGAGTTCATCTTTAATCCTGAAAATAATTCTTTATTTTAGTTCAAGAAAGTAATGATTCCATTATTTTATCAATTAGCAAGGTGTGTTTCAAGTCCACACTTTCAGGTTCAATTTTAAAAATTTTTTAGAAATTTTTCAAAATTTTTTTAATTTTTAGGTAGCCGAGAGAGCATTGTATTTTTGGAATAATGAATGTATTTTAGCTTTAATAAGGTTAATAAATAAATTAATTAAAATTTAATTCTAAAATTTAGTGAAAATGTTCAACAACTATTGCCTATAATGTTCCCTGCCTTATACAGAAATTCGAGGAATCATTGGAACAAGTAAAAAAAATTATTTTAATAATTGAAGGTTGGGGAAGGTTTTGATATTATGGATAATTAAAAAATTCTTTCCAAAAATTATTTGTCCGCAAATATTTTTGCGGACAAAAATTTCGTCCGCAAATATTTTTGCGGACAAATAATTTTATCCGCAAATTTTGTCCGCAAAAAATTTTTTAAAAATTATTTTTTATTTATAGAACAATTCACGGCCTAATCTACAATACATTAAAATTATTTATGGAAGAAGACCAAAAACTTTTTGATTGTTGTGTCCAAAATTTTTCAAAATTAAAAGATTCTGAAAATTCTGAAGTGGAGGAAAAACAACGAAAATGGCAACAATTGGAAGAAATTGCTAATATTAATGCCAAACAAATTTTGAAAGAAGAGGGATAAATTCAAAATTCTTTTCCCTTCTAAATTATTGTATTTAAAAGAATTTTTTATATTCGCCACTTGTATTGCCTGCAATATTTTCTGACCATCTTTCCATCGAAAAATTCAGGTCTTTCCCTTGTGTTGTTCCCATAAAAGATATATTTTACTACCTTTACATTTTTGTAAAAATTTTGAGTAATAAATTGGGAATGTTAGAATTATCGTGTGTAAAAATTCATTGGATGGAATAGAGAAGTTGAGTAATGAGCCTAGACCGAAACACAACTGAATATACCGCCCCTATAGTTTCCTTGGTGTATTAAATCAACCGCAAAGACTATTTATGCACTCATATGGGGAAGGGGAATGTTAAGGATTTTTGTCAGTAGTTGGAATGACAATGACAACTGCCTCGGGATTTACAAGATTTAGACCCCCTACTCGAGGCGTGCCATTTTTCTAAGTCCTATACAGAGATTAATGCTAGATTCCTACTTGGGGCGTGCCATCTTTTTTAAATCCTATAAAGGGACTACACGCCTTAGTCTCCCGTTAAGTTTAAGTAAAAAATATTAACCCTTTTAAAAAATATAAAACTCCCACAAATCAATTTTTATCTCAATAAAATAAATGAACCACACACAATTTAACATATCGAAAAAATCCAAACTTTAAAATAAAATATTTTTTGGCGGTTGAATATTGTTTTTTTCTCTTACAAATATATTTTTTAACGGGTTTTATTCATTTAAATATTGTCAATGTCAACATCCCCTTCTCCCTCCTCCTCCTTATCCAAACCTTTTTTGGCTGTTCCCTCCTCCTTTCTATTTTCAACAACAGTCCCAACAACACGACTACGATCATCAAAAGCTACAGCAATATCTTCATCATTATTATCACTTTCAGAGCCTTCCTCAGCCTCTTCAAGCCAAATTAGCACTGGCTGGGCTACTTTAATCATTTCTTTTGCAAAATCTTTTTTGACATATTTGCTACTTGGCTTTGAAAAAAATTTTTTAAAAATTAATCAAAAAATTTTTAAAATTAAAAAACCTTTTTCCCCCAAGAAAGCAAAACTTCTTCATCACAAATATCATTGTCATATAGAGCTTTTATTATATGAGCCGTTTTTGGAAGCAAAACATCCTTTTTTGCCAAAACTTTTTGTTCAATACCTCCAAGAAGATGGCGCTGTGCCTAGAATATTTTTTTATAAAGTATGAGAGAAATTTAAAAAGGTCTTATGGTGGTGAACGGTGTTTCCCCATTGAACCGCACTTTTTGGAAGACTCGAAATGAGGAACAGCTTGATTCTAAACCGAAGATAACTGACAATGACTAAAGGGGTCCACCAGGAAGGTCAAAAGCCGGAACTCATGCACAAGAATATGATTGCCTGCTTTCTTTTGCATTATCCGTCAGTTTCAACTAGAGTATTTCCGTCCTGCCCCTTAATACCCACAAATCCGTCTTAATATGCAATCCGTCTTAATTCGTTATTTATTTGCCTAAAATTTGTATTTGAACTTTTGAGTAATTTCACCTCCTGGCTTTGATCTTCTGGGTTGATCACGACTAGAGAGAATAAATATTCGCAAGAGTTTACCCAGACTTCCCCAACGATCCCAGCCTTTCAAAATTAACCCAAACCTCATTAAACTCCCAAAAATTCAAACCTTAGCATCATTCATGCAAAAACGAAGAAGCAAATTTCGATATTGTTTAATTTGTTGAACCAAATCTTCCGTAAACAAAACATTCGCCAATAAAAGAGAAGCTTTATTCTTTAATTCTAAACGTTCAGCTTCATTTAACATTTTCTTTCCATCCTGGATTGTTCCATCATTTAGAGCCTGTTGGAAATAAGCAAGAAGCATATCAAGACGATCGTCAATAGATTTGTCCAAATCTTTGTCCACAACCATTTTACTCATCTAAAAATATTTTTAAAAACCTTTAGATTTCTAAATTTGTTTAGAAATGAAAAAAGGTTAAAAATCAGTGATTCAACAATTTTTGGAGGCTAATGGTATCGAACCCACGACCCCTCACAAGCAAAACCAAAGACTATCCAATTCAACCACAAAGTCAAAAATCCCCAAAATAATTTTAAAAAATCTTCCTAAACCTCTCCAAAAAAAGGTTAAAAACAATCATTTGACAACTTTTGGAGGCTAACGGTATCGAACCTTTGACCCCTTCACAGCAAAACCAGTAAGTATCCCACTCAACCACCAGGTCAAAAAATATTCAAAATAATTTAAAAAATCTTCCTAAACCTCTCCAAAAAAAAGGTTAAAAACAATCATTTGACAACTTTTGGAGGCTAACGGTATCGAACCTTTGACCCCTTCACAGCAAAACCAACAACTATCCCACTCAACCACCAGGTCAAAAAATATTCAAAATAATTTAAAAAATCTTCTAAACCTCTCCACTAAGCTTCTCAGCTTCAATAACTTCAGGTGCCCAATCGTCATCATCCTCCTCATCCAACGACCCACTCCCTCCACGAACAGCTCCATTAACCGTCCCATTGTCTTCTTCCAAATTTCCATCTTCCCCCGCTTCTGTTGGAGGAGAGCCAGAATCGTTATTATTATTATTAGCATTTTTCCCGTCTCCATTACTTTCTTCACTCGTTGGAGGATTTTTAAGAATATAAGCAGACAATTTTTGTTTTGGATCGACTTGATATCCATGTCCACAAGCTTTACACTTGGCATAAATGACTTGTTTTTTGACTGTCTAAAAATTCGAAAATTTTCAAAAAAAAATTTTCAAAAAAAATTTTATTATTCATTTACCAAAACAGTTTCAGGATTGTCACATGCTGGGCACAAAACAAATTTTTTAATAAACCCATCCAATAATTCTTGAAGTTTTGAAGCATCGTGTTCCCCATTAACAATGTAACGGTCATTCTTAAAGTCAAAATATGTTTGAGCACCGAGCTCACAGCCAAAATATTTTGTTGGATCTAAAAATGGATTGAATTAGGGAAAGGTTAGTTAAAGAAACTTCGAGAAGGGAGAGACTTTTTAAGGGATTGAAAACTTAGGGTAAGTTAATGAACAAGGACATATAAGAGGAGGCTCGATAATAGCTCCCACTGGAATCGGGTACACCCCAATGTACCGCCGAGCTATAACTCTGGTCAAAATTGTCAGATCCTGGTATGGTTCGGTGCATCTCGACCAGCTAAATCGAATTTTGAACAAAGTTATAGCTCGGAGGTACATTGGGCTCGCGGTACACTGGCCTGCTCCACTCGAATCCTACCACTGGAAATTCTTGTTACTGGGTCATTGTATTTAAAGTTTGTGAAATCAATAGAATTTCGAACACAGAGAACACAAAAACGAAAAATCAGAACGAGACGAAATCTAATCCGAAAACCTCAGCTATCGAGAATCCTAGAGACATTGATTGAATATATCTTTCCTTAATGTCGCCCTCAAAATTTTACCAAAATCCCCAAAAAACAAAAAAAACAAACAAGTTGGAGGGCGAGAGAGTGCCTTAGCAATTTCAGGCATATTAGCAACAACAGTTTTAATTCCATTTCCTTTTCCCTCAACTTTGGCCAAAAGGCGTGGCATTTTATAGCGATAGAAGGGATCTTGCACATTACGATTAACATTAACTTTCTGCGCCATTTTCTTTTAAATTATATATTCTTCTCTATTTATAAATACTTAAAAAGAAAATTTAATTAAAAATCAAAGGGGTAATATTTCGGTTTGTGGCCCCCATTACCCAGTTAAAAAGTGGATAGGAACAGCTAGATGTGTTCGGAAATGGGAAAATCGGAAGTCCATTCAAAAGGAAGTTTTCAAGCAGACAAATGATAGTTCGTTGGATAGAGCTTGTATTGACTAACAGGCTTATTGCTAGTCTTGTACTGACTAATATTCAAAAATAGGAAAATTGGAAGCCAATTCAAAAACGACATTTTCCAACTGAATGATGCAAATATTGACATGATTGATTGCCTATAGGGAAATATTTTTTAGGTCGATTCTGGAGTTGGCGGACCTGGGAAATCTTCTGATATCCATCCCTTCTTTCTCGAATCCATATCCGCACACCCTGATCCCATCTGTTAAAATTTATGTTAAAAACTAGGGTATGGTGTGTATGGGGCGACAACTTTTCGGAACAGGATCCCTTAGAAAATCGTCATCTAGTCCAAAACCTTCCAAATAAACTAATTTTGGAATTACTTAATCAGTACAAGCTCTACCCAATAAGGGAATTTGAGGGGTCCACAAACCAAAATAAATTTAAAAAACCTCTTACAAATAAAAATTTTCTTCTCTTTTCTCCTCGGTAATATCCTCTTTATTAATTTTTGTATTAATCCTGTAAGGTATCGGCTCCACTAAATGGCATGCGATTCCCTTTAAACTCGACGTTTTTTCACGTTTATCCAATAGGGACTTCAGTTTCTTTCTTTTCTTTGACGATCGTCCTAAAAATTTGTTTAAAGAATTCTCTCAAAATTTAACAAAAAAAAACCTCTAGGCCAATCGAGCATAAAACAATTAGACTTCGTGTCGCTTTTGCTTTGCTTCTTTAGGCAATATAACATACAATTTGAACAGTCAATTGCTTGTACGGTTTTCGCTTTGAAGAATAAATAGAATTTAAGCTTTAGGTAAATTGAAAGTCTGAAAAATTAAAAAAATTTAATTAAAAGATGAGGAGAGGAATGAGATAATTCCACGAATATTATTAAGTAGGAAATTTTGACTTATAGGGGACTTTTTTTGGCTGGACCGATTTAGACATATGATATGTCATTCGAAAGAGCTCGTCGAGCTGAGTCGAATGAGGGGTGAAAGGTATCGATCCGACAATCAGGGACCGAGTTACCAAAAAACAGACAGCTTTCAGGAGATCGGAAATTTTGAAAAGCCTGGCTCTGGGATTGATTTATTGACTTGCCTGTAGTACTGGAAAAAACCCAAGCCCAGGAAAACCTCAGGAAGGTCAAAATATGCCTGGGCTTGATTCTTGTTACAGGAAAAACCCAGGCTTTGGTCCAGGTCCAGCTCGATCTCTACAGTTTTCAGGAGAAAAAAAAACAAGTAAATCAAGGTGCTTATTTAAACAAAAATTTTCTTGGAAAATTAAATAAATCCGAAAACTTCAACTAAAAAACTTTCAACACAACTCTACCATTAACTGACCCTTTCAACAAACTAAAAAATATTTAAATGTGGAGAGTTTAAATATATTGGGTTTTTCCCCCTCCACCCAACCAAATACACACACCAACGTCCATTCCTTTCGAAATAAAAATATTGAGTTTTTTACCATTAAATGCTTTAAGGATAGCGACCACAAAAAAGCAAAAATAGAGTATATACAACTACCCCCCCCCCCCCCCCCCCCCAACTCTTTTTAAAAACATCAATGGAAGCATCCCTTATATACCAAACAATCCTTCCCTTCTTCATTTTCTCTAATTTTGTTGGAATAGAGAGAAATGCTTTTCCTTTTTTTGCTAAACTAACTAATCATCCCACAATTTAAAAAATGTGGAAGCTTTTTTTTTAATTTTAGAAAATAAAATTTCAAAAAAATAGAGGATGAATGGGAAGACAAAAATGGGAAAGAAGAAAAAGTCGATTTTATTGAATGTTAATGAAATTTGGCAGTATTTAATTAACCAATTAAGAGAGAAAATTTAAATTTTGTCATCCCTAAAATCAACGAAATATAAACTATCAGGGACACGCCCAAAACGGCGCGCGGCCATAACGGCGCAAAGCCATAACTTGCTTCAAGATTTTCTAACCTTACCAAATTTAGTATCAACAATTCCTCTCATCGAGCATAGGAGATTGGACCCAAAATTGACAAAAGCCAGACATTTTCCAGCATGTTATGACTTTGCGCCGTTAAGGCCGCGCGCCGTTTTGGGTGTACCCAAACTATCGATAATTTAGATATCGCCAAACGCAAAAAAGAAATAGAAAAAAGATTGATTTACTCTCGAATAAAATAACAAGAATTGATCATTATCAAGAAATAAATTTGGCCAAGAGTGAAATAAATACGCAAAGAAAACTAACGGAGCATTGCTCTCCCTTTTATAACCTGCAAAATTGTTTTGGACAAAACGGTACATTGACAAAACGGAACAAGGGACAAAATAGTATGTGGACAAAATGGTACACGGGACAAAATGATACAGTGACAACTTGTACTGGAGACTAACTGCCATTGTACAAAACATTCCCACTGCAGACTAGCAAGGGTCACAGCGGAATTAAAATTTTGGTTAAGTGGCTAAGAGCGATGACTACAAAATCGTTTAAAAATAGGTCGCGGGTTCGAACCTTTTCATGGTTAATTAATATTTTCTAAGTAAATATATAAAATAGAACATCAAAAAATCATTTTAAATAATATTTTAAGTGTGTAAAATTTTTTTAAACTTTTAAAAATAAATCAGGTAAAATTTAAAAAAATCGGCTGTTATTTTTTAATTTAATTTTTTCCAAATTGGATTGATTTGGGCAAATGAGGTGTCATTCGAAAGAGCTTTAAAAACTAAGTCGATCTAGGGGCGGATGAAGTTGATCTGACATTCCGGGACCGAGTTACAGTCTCCCGAAAGTTGAAAACCACAGGAGGGCCCCTAGCCGATTTTGGTGACAAAAATTCAAATATAAAAATTATAGCTCATTCGAAAGAGCTCCTCGAGCTGAGTCGAATGAGACCAAAATCTCCGTGATTAGTTTCCGACTTCACCTCAATATAGCACAAAAGCGGTTATTCCGGCGAAAATACAAATTGCCTGTAACTTTTTTCAGAATCTTAGAATCGAGCTGATTTTAGTGGCATTCGAATCAGCTCGTCTAGACGAATCGAATAGTATATGTTACGACCAAAACTTTCAAGATTTTTAACGAGTAAAAGGCATTTTTCTAAACCTGATTTATTCGGCCATTCATAACTTTTTTAAGATATTCAAAAAATCTATAAATATGGTTTTAAAACAAAGATAAGACTCTCATTCATTATTTAAAATAAGCAAAATTTAAAAAAAAATAAGATTCTCGAAAGATAAAGATTCTCGAAGTTGACATGTTCAAGCAAACAAATTTTATCTCAAATATTTAACGAAATAACACGCGAAAAAAATAGAGCGACAAAGAAAAAGAGATAAATTTAGCTCTTTTTTAATTAGTTGGCGTTCTGCCCCAATAAATGACATTTGTTTCGCTATGACCCTTGCTAGTCTGCTGTGCATTCCTCATTTCGGAGTAATTTAAATTTAATTGGGACAATAGCATGTACAATTAAGTATTTATCTGATACTTGTACTCTTTTATTTGTTGATAAATATACAATTTACTGCAATTACATATTAATTATTTTGCATACTCTTTTTATTTCTCAATTTCCATTCTTTAGCCCCAAGCCCATCCCAAATCGCTCCAATCAGGGCTTTGTTTATTGGCTGCTGAACGCATAACTCTGGCATAATCACCAATTGCCTGAAAAGAAAATAAATTTAGCTGTAAAATCAACACAACTTCCCGGTTCCGGAACGGGTTGTGGAACAGAGAAAGGATTTGTCAACTTAAGGAACCAGAGTAAGGAGTAAAGCTAATTGTAAGCTGGGTTATAGCTATTTCTCCTTCAGCTAATGAAAAAAGCTAATCGGCGGCTGTGAGCGAAACAGCATCTTCAGTTTACCAAGTCACCTCCTGCATAGTTTTAGGAATTAAAAAGCTATATGCTTTACAAAAGGAGCAGTTAAATCTTTTGGAACCAGGAAAGCACTGACGCATGTGTGTGATTGCCAAAAGAATAATTTTAAAAAATCACTTCATTCTCAACATTTCTTTGTTGTAACCTCTTCAACAACTGAAGACTGTTTGTATTTAAAGAACGTTTCCCCTGTTGGTTTTGTAATATTCCGACACGGGATTTTAGTAGATCATTTAATGAACTTTTTATGAAGAAAAACGTAGAGGTTGGGCCTAAAAATGATTTAGATTATTTAAAATGATTAATTGATACAGTCGAAACCTCATTATAAGACTGAGTAAACATTGTATCGATACTACCGGATTATTCGCTTGTATTTTCCTTTGATCGAAGCCTTTTGGCATTTGTCCGGTTTTTAAATACCCTAAATCTTCTAAAGGATTCTATTTTTTCAATTTCCTTGTAAGGGTGTGCTTCTGTTTGATTGTGTAGCACACCGATTATGTGTGGAAGGAGACGAGAGGTTAATAGAACCCGATAGTACCATTATACCTTATAAGTAGGGTTGCCGTTTTCGAGTCGGGCCGACGGTCGAGTCATTTTTTTCGGGCTTCATTTTTATCGAGTCGGGTCAAACGAGTCTTTTTCGGGCCTCATTTTTATCGAGTCGGGTCAAACGAGTCTTTTTCGGGCCTCATTTTTATCGAGTCGGGTCAAACGAGTCTTTTTCGGGCATAATTTTTATCGAGTCGGGCATCGAGACTTTTTCGGGCCTTTTTTCAAAAAATTTATTCAAAAAAACAAAAATAATTTTGCTTATTTGTCATCAAAAATAAATCATATTAACATTGTTTTTCATAATCTTCTTCACTAGGGTTGTTCCCCGACGGGGGGGGGGGAGGAGGGCCACGGGGAAAATTTTCGGGGAGGCAGCGCCACGGGGGGGGGGGGGGGGGGGGGGTGGGGGAGGCGCCTTCTTTTTTTACGCCTTCTTCATTTTTTGCGCCGCAGGCGAAAATTTTGGGAATTTTGGAGGTCCTTAAGCCAGATTTCTTCCATTTTTTGCGCAGCAGGCGAAAATTTTGGGAATTTTGGAGGTCCTTAAGCCAGATTTCTTCCATTTTTTGCGCTAAAGCTGAAAAATCTAGAGTTTTGAATTTCAAAAAATAATATCAAAGGTTTAAAATCGTCTCTTGTATTAAAAAAAGTTAAAGTAATCTGAAAATAAGTCTCAAACGATGATTAGTACTCGAACCCAACAATCCTTTAAATAAAATCCAGCGCCTTAACCACTCAACTAACCGCTCATTTAATTAGTTCTGAAAGAAAATATATTTCCGTTACTCAGTAAAAGAAATATCAAAGAGGAAGATCCAAAAGGAAATATTTATCGAGGACATTCGAGTCGGGTCATACGAGTCTTTTTCGGGCCTCATTTTTATCGAGTCGGGTCAAACGAGTCTTTTTCGGGCCAAATATCCTAGGCCCGACTCGATCTTTCGGTCCGAGTCGGGCCATTTTGGCAACCCTACTTATAAGGTTATCTTAAATAGAGAGTATCATTTAGCTCTTCCCAATGGCCGACCAAAGAGTTGGCATTTCTAATCTCTTAAATTGAGGAGTATTCTGGATGTATCTAATCGAGGTTCGACCGTATACAAATTTCAGTAAAAAAGGTTGTTTACCATGAGATGACTTGCATTTAATTAATTGTGCAGTTAATACAATTAGAAACAATAAAATGATTGTTCGTGACATTTTTAGATTTTTTTGGCTTTAAAATCTGTTATTGACAATAAAAAATCTCAATAAAAAATGAACACGAGATTTAATTATAGGGAAATTTATTTTTCAAGATTTCTGGGTATTTTTGTCCTTTTTAAGTAACACAAAAACCGTCTTAGCCTCCAGGCAATCTTTTTATTATTATTAAGAAAATGCTTGTTTGTTGAAAGATTTTTGCATAGAAGTGAAGATTCTCGAAGAAATCTTGAAGAAAAAAATCTAAATAAGTGGGTGTGTGTAGAGGGGGAAGGGAAGCACAATAAATTAGAGTTTCCGATAAAGTTTTCTTAAGAAAAGGTTACAAATAATAAGCCAGTGGCACTAATTAAGAGGATTTCTGATTAAAAACCTTCTTGGTTAATTAGGGGGCTCTGGGTTAGCTAATTAAATGTGCATGTATGCCCGGAAATGATAGGATTATGGTATTTTTTCTAGCTAGTGTTCCATTATGTCGTTTTTTACCGTTGTACCATTTTGTCTTTTTTAGTTACTGTACTATTTTGTCATTTAAACCTGGTGTTCTATTTTGTCATTGTCTTACCAAGATTCGTCCTACGAACAATAAGTTAATAAAAATAAACACAAAACAAAAAATTTTACTTTTTTAGAACACAAAAAAAAACCTTAAATAATATAAAGAGAAAAATATATGTCAGAGCTGTTTCAATCAAAATTTTCCAATAAAAAATTTTTTTCTCTCAATCTCCACGCAAATCACAAGTCTCAGAATGCGCCTAATTAAAACAAAAAATTTTTTTGAAGTTAAGTATTTATTCCCAGTCTTCTTGTCCTTTGAAAGATAGAAAAAATAGAGGTTCAAACATTCCAATTTCTTGGATAAATTTCAGAAAAATTTTTTATAGGAATAGACTTCCTATTGAGAAGTCATATATTCGTTTTCCTGCAAATGACTTCGGGTCAAGTTATCACCAGTAGAATTTTTGGCTTTTGGGAGGTTTGAATATGTGAGTATACGGAAAATGCAAAACTAATTTACAATTTTGTTAGTTTCCGTAAAATAAAAAATTTTTTTAACAGACCCTCCTCTTCCTCCTTATCTCCCAACAAAACATAAATTAAATAAAAAACCTCTTTATCCCCAGCCTTTAACCAAACAATTTTAAGTCCATCCCCAGTAGACGTCTCTCTTTCAGCAAGCGAACGAAAAGCGTCTTTCATCAATTTTTTTGCATCCTCAACAGTTACAGGTTTACGTTTCCCCTCATCGATAGTCTCTTGTTGAAAAGTAATATCAAAAAATGATTGTACAATTGTACCGCCAGCACCAGTGCAGAAAGTTTGTGCTAGACGCCAATGCCCAATTGGATCATAAGAATATAACGCTCCTTTGCCTAGAAAAGTTTTAAAGAAATGAGAAAAAAATCAGAATTCTGCCCATCTTTTCAGTTCCCTGGTAGGAACTAGAGAGTGAATCCAGCCGAGATTTCAAACAAAAATCTCGATAATCTATCTCGTAAGGCCCTCCTAGTCCAGTCTTTACTGAAAGTCCTTGGTGGGTCCTGGGGATACCAACAATAAAGGGAGGGTATGCTAATAGATCCAAGAGTGATCTCAATTCCGGCCTAATTTTTAGTTCAGGCGGGACATTGACCGGGGTGTAAAAAATTATTTCTATTCAAATCAAAGGGCGGAGGAAGAATTTGGAAAGAGCACAAAACTGTGCCGTCCTTCAAAAACGAATATTTAATGGAGCCCAAAAGAATAAAGCAAAAATAGAAAATTAAATGGAGGGTCCCTAAACCAAGTAGAAATCGGAAATTAAATAAATCTTGACCTCGTATATGATTGAAAATATTGACCAGATTATTGTCTTTGAGTCAAGTAAAAATTAAAAATGGAACCAGATCCAGGCCAAAATCAAGGATTGGAACCAGTTTCAGGCCGATCTCTCTAATACCAAGTCAAAAACCAATAAAAAACCTTTAGTATCAATTCCCCCAGCAATACATCCCGTATAAAAAGGAAAAAAGCGGCGACTGTAAAGAATACGAGACAACATAGAAGCAAACATTTCAGTAGTCATTTGATGTTGATAATTAAATTTGTATTGATTTTGACGAAGCTTAAAAGATGAAATTTTGATTTTAAATAAAAATTAAAAGAACCTGCAAAAGCTTTTTTAATTGAAGAACGTCACCATAAAAACCGCAAGTACCCAAAAGAATGTTATTGTCCCTATAAATAAAAAATAGGGAATATTGGGATAACTAGGTTTATAATGACTTTAAAAAATTTCGTAGGATTGCAAAAAAGGTTAAAACAATTTTTTGTTATTTATTTACGAAATTAAAAAATGATTGCCATCGAAGGGGTTCGAACCTAGTACCCCTTTGAGTGTTAAAATCAAGAAGCTTACCGCTACACCAAAGCGTCCTATATAAAGCCTATTTTATTATTAGCATGATTTAATTAATCAAAAAAGAAAATATCAATACGAAATTGCAAAAACAAAAAATCGTGTTCATCGCCGGGATTCGAACCCGGGACCCCTTGGTTGCTAAAATCACAAAGACTACACCACTACACCAAAGCAGTCTTATTAAACATTATTTAGAATTCCTATAGGTTATTTAATTAGAAAAGAACACATCAACACTAAACTGCAAAATTAAAAAAAATATTTCACAAGCTGGGACTCGAACCTAGCCCAATCTGCCTCGAACGTATCCCACTACACCAAAAAGTCTATTAAAATAGCCTGATATAAAAATAAACTAACAAAACGTGTATCTTCTCGCAGTCTCTAGCCAAAATACTTTTCCACATAAGCATACGAGTATCACTACCAAAAACAACCCAATCATCACCACGGATAGCAGCACAAGTTCTAAAAATTATTTTTATTTAAAATTCAAAAAAATTTAAAAGGAATACCCTCCCATATCGTCGTAAGGATTCCACTGCTGAGCATCTGTAATTAGACGAGAATCTTTAAATAAATCCATATCGGTTAACAAAGGAGAGTCAATCATATTTAGTTTTCTTAACTAGAAATTTTCTTAAAAAGAAAAAATTTATTGTTTTTGGCGCCTATCAGATGTATAATGTACACAAAAAAAGAAAAAAATTAATCAAAAATTTCGGAAATACTCAAAAATAATTTTGATGACAATCCTCACGGCGGGTCAACAGGGACTCTAACCGTCCCTTTTCAGTCGTTGTATCATTTTGTCGTTTTTACATGTAGTATCATTTTGTCCTTTTTTACCTGTTGTACCATTTTGTCTGATTTACCATTTTGTTTGGATACACTTTGATAAAATGTCTTTATCGAAATTTCAAAATGTTAACTTTTTAAAAATATTTCAAAAAGCCTAAAACTGCAAAAATTTTCAATAAACCTAAAAATGTTTTGGCTTTTGTTTGATTCACTGACTTTAAGATTTCTTTTACGATGCTTTCAATTAAAATTCTTTAGTTTTTCCCTTTAAACCGCGTACTTTTAATTACATAAATAGATGATACAACATTTTCTTATCAGTTTATATATTTTTACTTTTTTCTTACCATATTTCTTTACATTTTCCTGTCAATATATCGGTATTTCTTTTGCATTTTTATTTTATTAAATGCTATTTGCAATTAAGTATCATTTTGTATATTCTCATTCACTTTTTTGATTGCTCAAATAATACTCGGCAAAAGAATTTTTTTGGGAGGGATCCTGCAAGATTAATCCTACAAAATCCCTCATCTCACGGAGCCCACGGAATCACCAGCTTTAAGATTTCCTTTAACGCTCTCCTGGAAAAAAGAGAACGGGTGTGCGGATCGTCCTCGACGGATTAGGCGCACTCGTTCCCTCCTTTCAAGAGAACATTAAAAGAAAACTTAAAGCTAGTGATTCCGTGGGATGCAGGAATTTGTTGGATTAATCTCCTCCATCTCGTGCTGAGGAATCCCGTTTTCAACAATTTTTTAAATTTTTCAGAGAATTTTTTTGACTATTTTTTATTAATTTTTTTCTCAAAAAATTTTGTTGCCTTGTAATCTTTAATGTCATCAGACACTTCTTTGTTACATTTACTCAGCAAATTTTGTTGTTGTAAAGACAATGGGAATGATCGAGAACGTCTTGTAAATAACAGAGGAGCAGTTATTGAAGATGCCTATCACATACCTAACGGGTTTTTTTTTGGAAAAAAATTTTTTTGTTTAAATTTTTTTAAAGGAATGGAAGTGGACAAGTGACAGATTACGTGACAAATAGTCTACGACCTTTTGCTTCTGACAGAAATATGAATATAGCTCCCGAATTGCAAACGGCACGTAGTCGGGAGGAAGAAGAGGAGGAATTAATGAATAGAATTTTGGATAGAACACAGCAGGTTTTTGTTGAAAATTTTATTTTTTGTTGATTAGAATTTTGGGTAATTGTAGAGATGAAAGGATTTTGGTTGTAGAAATTTTGAGGATTTTTTCTTCTATTTTTTTAATATGACATCTCATATCGCCACTTGTTAATTTTTGAATGCGAAATGCGTAAAGCACAAATTTGCATAAGATAAAGTCCTCCAATTTTTACAACTGCTGATTTTCTAAAATGCGTCCATTTTGAAGATATGGCTAAATCCTTTCCATAACTTTTTTTAAATGCAATCATTCTCCATATCATTCCACATATGATTTCTTTTTAACTGATTCTTTTCTATTTATGTATTCCTTAAAAAGTTGCGGCATTTTGTAGAATGATTCTTAATAGGAGTTATTTGGAAAAAATGAGTCGACTATTTCCCTTAAATTTTGTTCTAAACATAAGTGAGAACCAGAAACTTCATTCAATAAAGCTATAAAAATATATTTTTTCAATTTAGAGTATAATTGACGTTACAAATCTTGAGAACAATTCTCTTGATATTGATATGATACAACGCTCAAGACTTTATGTGGAAGCTGTGAAGCGACACGATGCCCTTTTGGAACGTAAAAAAGCACCACCAACAACCACGGGTATTTTATTAACTTTAAATAAGTTTGGGACAATTTTTTGCCCTAAAATGATATATCTCTTTTTTCTTCACAAAAATCGATTTTTTTTGTTTCTTGCTAAAATTTTAATTTTTTAAAATAATTTTTGTTGCACAGGACCGGGAGATTTATGAATTTTATTTTTTCAAAGTCATAGGAAAATTGAAAATATTTTATTGATTTATCCAAAATGGGTATATCCTCTTGATCGACCACATAATCAGTGTTCATAAATTTTAAACTTGCTCGTACTTGTACCACCCCTAATTTTGGCCTCGCACCTAAGTATGAGTACGAATTTTGGTAGAGGCTTATGAACATTGCACATAATGTATAACAAGACTTGTAGTAAAAGTCGAATTTAGACAAGTTTGTATGTTTCTGGGTAGCCGCGTCGTTGCTACCAAAATCAATTTTCTGTGGTATTTTTCATTTTGGTACATAACACTTGACTTGAAGTGGACTTTTTGTGAAGAAAAGAGAGACCCCCTAATTACGTCTAAAAATTAGAAAAAAGAAATTTTTAAAAAAATTCATAAAAAATCCTTTAAAAAATTCTAAAAAATAATTTTCTTAAAAAAGATTTTTCTGATGCTCACCACAATCACCACCTTGTATCTCCTCTCTCCGGACTTTTAACAAATTTAAATAATAATTCAACAAAAACATTTTTGGACTCTACCCAATGTTCTCAATGTAATCAAGAAGAATTAAATTTATTAAATAAAGCAACAGAATTATTTATGGATGCACACAATTTGGGGACACAAATTGAATGTAAAGAAGAATTAATTGTTTATATGTCTTTGGATGATGATGATTAGAGAATTTTAAAAATTAAAAAAAATTTTTTTAATCAAAAATATTTTTATTTAAATATTTTTTTGCGCATATAAGGTTTGTGAAAAATTTTTTTTGTATTTTTAAAGAGTCAATCGGACCATGCCGAAACTCGATACCATGGGGATGGATCGGAATGAAAAAAAGTCGAGTTAGTTTTCGGATCACATTTTCAAAATTTTCTTAGGATTGGGGTCGTGCTGAAAAAAGTCTTCTGTGGGTTTGGTAGGGTTTAACAAAGGTAACCCAACCCTTCCCTACTAGATAACTATCTCAATTCAAGAGACATTTTTTAAGTTTATTGCTACGGTATGGAAAGACGGGATACTTCGAAATAAAAAAACCTCGTTCATTTATAAGATACGATTTTCTGAGCCATACGGGGATATCTTATAATTAGAGAAAGGGATTGGGAGTGTTGTACGAGAATCGAAATCTCGAAAAATTCTCGATATCGATAACCGAGATTTTCGATCGAGATCTCGTCTGGGCAGGCCCGTAGCCAGGGGGGGGGGTGAGTCTAAAATTCAAAAAATTTTCGCCTGCGGCGCTGAAAATAAAAATTTTTGGCGCCTTCGGCGCCAAAAATTTGGCGGAGAAAAAATTTTCCCCCTTGACCCCCCCCCCCCCCGAAAAAAATCCTGGCTACGGGCCTGCGTCTGGGTCCTATCTCCACTTATAATGAGGTTTAGCCCTATAAAAGGTTTTTTGACCATCAAAAATTTTTAAATTTAATTTCGTAATTAATTTCGTAATTTTCCGTTAAAAATAGCCTTTTCTAATTATTATATATTTTTTTTCGATTTGTATTTGATTAAATTCAATTAAAATATGTTTATTTTTGTTTGAAAGAAAATTATGCGCAATCTCCTCTTCTCTTTTGCAAATATATATTTAAATAAATTCTGAAAAATATTTTAAGGAATAAAAATAATTATTTTTAATCTTTGTTTTACCTATCGCCATAATTCTTTAACAGTATTTTAAAAAGATTAATGTATGCTTTTTATGGAGAAAGGAAAACGAAAGGTAAGGAAAAATAAAATGGGGGCGGGGCGGGGGGGGGGAGATAACACAAGAGTACCGAGTTTTTAAATTGAATTCAGTCGGACACACAATTGGCGATGATAAAATTGGGTAAAATCGAGGTGTATTTACTTAAAATGGGAGATATCGCTTAGGCAACTCCCAACACCCTTCGCAGGAGGCCTACCAAAATAAAGCGTATATTTTGGAAAAAAATCGAAATCCAACTGTATTTTTTAAAAATAAAATTTTCTTTAAAGGCGTCAATGGGAAATGTCAGTAGCAGCACAAAAACTTCCCATTCAACCACCACTTTATGAATGCATAAATTGTGATATGAGTGCGGAAGATGTTTCTTCTTCAATGACTTCTGGATGTAGACAAAATAAATGTAAAGGTATTGAAATTTTTGAAATTTTTTAAAAAAATTTTTTTCTTAGGCCATTTCTGTGTTTACGCAGCCCAAAGAATATTTTCCAACAATTGGTCAACCAATAGAAATGGGAATAATAATGGACAACAAAATTCCCTCAATTCACCAAAAATGCACGAAAAACGAGGCTGTATAAATGTAACAACGCCTACTTTTGTTCAACTTGGATGTACACACAAATGGGTACAGAATGAATTGGAAGAGATTTATTGTGCTTGCAAGGTTTGGAAAAGGGGGGGGGGAATATTTTAAATTAAAAAATAATTTTTAGGGGAATACTTGCAATTTCGACTTGGCGACAGCTAGTCAGTCTTTGGCAGAAAAACAACTAGTTTCACCTTTAAAGCTCACATATTTTCTGTTATTTTTATTTATTTTTTACTCAATTTTTAGTGCCTTAATTTTGTAATAAATTTCTTTTTTGAATTTTTTCGATATTAAAAAAACAAAATCGAGGGGATTACATGAACCTCACAAATCCTTAGAATAGGAGTGAATTCGAATGAGGTCAACAATGATTGGAGAGAAAAAGACTTGTGAAATTCGCAAAAAAGGAAAGGAATCAAAAGAGGATTAAATATTCAAGTGTAAATCACACTTTGCAATAATTATCAAATCCCAGGATGGGAAAAAATTTTATTTTTAAAATTAACAAAATAATTTAACAATTTTTTTTATTTAAATAAACTTCGATTTATTCACTTAAATATTTTCGGCCAGTCTCCCACATTGTACACATCGTCTCCAAAGTCTTGGTTGACCACATCATAACGGAAACCTCGAACAAGACTAACTTTAACCACAGCATCATCATCATGGCAGTCATATTTTGGATGGAACATATCCGAGGGAGAGTCAACAGGAATGTATTTTCCTGAAAATTTTGAGTATTACATTTCATAGAAAATTAAAAAAATACCAATCTTCTGCCCATTGATCGTGAAAAAAATATGCGGAACTTCATTTTTATAGAATTTGTTCTTTGATGGCCAAACAATTCCAGAACCAATTGTTATTGGACCTTCAATTTCGTCCAAGTCCAGAATGAGTTTTCGTTCAGGATTGAATTGTAATTCCCATTCCGATGTATGGTTGATGAAAATAAAGTTTTTGTCATTGCACAGACCTAACAGGTCAAAACTAAAATTTTGTTCCTTATTTTAAAAATTTATTTCGATTCCCCCATAAAATTGATACAGCTTAAAATAATGCTCAAAAATATAGAGTACAAGGGTTAGAGGAATTCTGTGACCCTATGATGACTTTCTAAACAGTAAAAAGCCTAATGGACAATTTATTGATTTAAATAATACCCCTCAAGACTCGAGAATGTAATCTCAAAATAATTGATTGAAATGGATCGAGAAGTCACTTTATTGAAAGGCACTGTTCCAGTAAATCCCAGAGCATAAAGACTGCAGGATCTACGCTCAAACCGGCCACCATAACCAACGAACACCTAAAATAAAAAATATTTTAATATATGAATAAATTATTTTCTAAAATAATGGCCTAAAAATGACTAGGTATGGGGTATTTGTGTTATCAATTTTTAACTCTTTCCCCCAATCTTATTCTGAAAATAACAACCTCTTAAAAACGCCACTAAAAGGAATGAAGTTTAATTCGAAAAACGAGGCATAATTAGGTTTCATGCTATGAAATCGATATTAACGGAAAGATCAGTCAAAACATATTTTTTAAAACTAACCGGCGGAAGTCCAATCATTCCAGCCAATTTGTTAAGTTGAGTTTGCTGAGAAGCAATTTGCTGATCTTGAGAAGCAATTTGCCGATCCTGAGAAGTGATTCGAGCATGAGCCAAAGACAGTTGATGATTCAATTGTTCAACAGACATTACGTAGAATTGCTTAATTACTTTTTTAAAATCACTAAAAAATCAATAAAAATAAAAAAACAATGTAAGACCAAAACACTCTTTAAATGGATTTCAAGAAAAAGAGCTCGATTGTTAAGAATGACTAGAAAATGAAAGAGCTACAGCTTTTATATGAAGAAAAACAAAAATGAATTTGGCGTTATGTTGCAGTAGAATTTTGAATTAAATTATGGGAGGGGATATTTGAGTCTAGCAGGAGTTTTTGTTTTCTTTAAATAAAAGCTATAATTCTTAAATTATTCGTAATCTCTGGATAATCTCTGGATATTTTTCCTTACCGAGATAAGGTAAGAATGGATTAACCAAGGAAAAGAAAAAAATTAACTTGCCCAACTCGGGTTTCCCGGAATAAAACCAAAACCCTGATTTTTTTCAATCGGAAACGAAGCCAGTTCAAAAAAAAATAAACAGAAATAAATAAAAATAATTTTGAATCTTTAAAGATTTGGAGAATATTTTAGACTCAATTGATTTGTTGAGGTTTCGAATTTAGGCCTAACTAGAGAGCGGGCTAGATCTGGATCCAGATCTTGATTTTTCCTGAATCCAGAGTCCAGATAAAAACATTTTTCAGCGTTCCTTGATTTTTCCTTGACTCAAGGTCAAGAATCTGGTCAAGGTACCCAACCGAAATCAAGGTTTTTTGAAAAGTCCTAATCCTAACAATCTCTAGTCCTAACAATAAGAGGATAAAAATATCAAAATATAATTTAATAAATAAATTTTTAATTATACAGGGTGCGGCAATTTTTCCGCCACTTTTATTTTGAGCATATCTCACTTCAAACTCAAGATAAATTGATAATTCTTTTTTTATTCTATTCACAACTCTCTGAGAAACTTTTTGATACAAAATTCACCTTTAAATTTTACATTATAGTCCGATTAAACTTCTCGCAAAGTTTGAGCAAAATTTTTTGGATAAAACTTGACCTAGATTCACGGCTATGATTCTGATATTTGAAATTTATATTTCATTCGAATCAGCTCTTTAATCTGATTCGAATGACGTGAAAATCAATCGGCTACCTTAAAAATGAACCGAGATATGGTCCTCTGAATGACATATTAAATTAAATTTGAAAAATATAAATTTTTTTTCTAAAATTTTCAAAAATGAAATTATAGGCTATTTCGATGCGCCTAAACGAGATATATCGATTGGTACAAAAATTGAAAGGATTGAATGATTTTGGACAAAGTTATGATTAATTAAAATTTAGCAAAAAAAAATGTTTTTTTGAAGATTTTTTTATATTCGGACCGTCTTATCTCTACCATCCGTGAACCGAATTTTTATTTTTGATATCAAAAAGTTTCTCATAGAGTTGTGAATAAAATAAAAAAAGAATTATCAATTTATCTTGAGGTTGAAGCAAGATATGCTCAAAACAAAAGTGGCGGAAAAATTGCCGCACCCTGTATTTTAAAACCTTTCTTTTTTTGAATAATTCTCCAGAAAATCGACAAGTTATAGAAGAAGAAGTCAAAACATTTGTAGTATATTTATTCCATAATTTAAATGGTTCTCGAAGAATTTCTGTTATTTCTATATTATGATGCTTTATTAAATCACTTTTTTATAATTGAAAAAAGGTACTTGAGAGGGCGTTTAAAAAATAGTTTTTAGAAAACTTAAAAATTCTTATATTTTTCAATATTTTCCCATCTGACATTCCCTATTTTGGATTCGCACCAAGCCCATCTTTTTGTAAATTTGAGCGAATCCAACTGAAAATCAACTTAAATATGTTTTTTTATTTTTCTTTAAAAAATATAATGACAAAATAGATTTCCGATTTCTTTACAAAATTTTCTCAAAATGCCCAAAAATGACATTTTATGTGATGTACGTATACCCCTGAAACTTTGGTCGAGGGACAGAGTTTTCATTTATTTCTGGGTTGGGGATAAATGTGAAAAAATTGTTCGGGAATGGGGTCGGGGTACTAAATTTGTTTAAAGACTAGATAACCAAATAAAAAATTAATGGAAGGATACGAAAAAGAAAAAATCA